GTCACCCCCCCCCCCCCCAGGCCTTCCAATAACTTTTTAAAAGGCACCAATCCGTCCAGGGCGTTTTTGGCCTGCCCTTTCTTCAAGGAGGTTAGAGCAGGGCCCTTCATTCGCACAACAGCCCTGTAAGGTAGGTTAGGCAGTGAGAGACCTCCCCCCCAGTGTCGGGATTGCAACCCAGTCTTTTCTGCTCATATGCTCTCTGCTGGGTTTTCTTCTCTGAATTCTTGTTTCTCGGTGCCTGTAGGATCCTGGCCAATGCTCTGAGGGGCCTCTGGGCATGTGCAGAGTGCAATGGGAGCAGCAGGGCTGGCCTGGACATGCCTCCAAGGAATTAAATATCCTGCGGAGAGGGCCAAGGTGGGTTGGTGGTCTTCCGCTGCTTCGGCTAGGCCCTTTACTTCTGAACTTTTTGTCTTGGAAATGAGGAAGAGTTTGGGTACTGTGGTAAATGAAGAGAGGCGAGGTTACGTGCGTGTTGATTCCAGTGGAGTCGATGTGCGAGTTTAGTGTAGCAAAGGAAACTAGAAGCCCAGTGGCCCAGGGTGGCATTGTGGTTAGACCGCTGGACTGAGAATTGGAAGGTCTGGGTTCGAATCCCCACACCAGTGTGGTGTAGCAGTTAGAATCATAGAACCATAATGAAAATGGAGGAGAGGAGAATGACGTAAGGCACTGGGTGTCCCCGTCGGGGAGAAAGGCAGGGTATAACTCAACTGACTGAAAGACTAAGCCACCGTGATCCCAGTAGGATCTGTTCTGAGTCGATTTGATTTATTTAATTTGTATCCTGCCTTCCCGGCCGAGGCCGGCTCAGGGCAACTAACAACAGAGTAACATTCCAACAATACAGAACAAAGTAAAAATTCTAACAATACGTATTAAAACATAACAACAATTAATATAAATACAGTGTTAAAACCAAAACATATAATAATAAAGTGCTGGCATAGTTCTTCACTATGCTCCATGGCCAGAAGATGGCAAAAATCCCTCCAGGATCTCCGCCCAAACTGGCTTGGAGAAAAGTGCTTCCTGACCCCAAAGTTGTGATCAGCATTTCCCTGGGCGTGTAAGAAAGGGCCACGAGAACTCAGCACTGATGCAACCCTTCCTGCCCAAATTCCCAGAATCAGCATTGCTGTCATCAGATGGCCATCTAGCCTCTGCTTAAAAACCTCCAAAGAAGGAGAGCCCACCACCAGCATTCCCTCTAAGCTGAGTTAGTGTGAGCTAGCTCCAGAGCAAACTAATTTATGCAGTAGCCAAATCCCTCACTCACAACTTTCATGCTAGTAGCTCAAAAAGTAGAATTTTTGCTCACAAGATCCTACAGCTTAGAGGGAGCATTGCCCACCACCTCCCAAGTGCTAGACTGTGATTTGGGAGACCCGGGTTTGATTCCTCACTCTGCCAGGAAAGCTCATGAGGTGACCCTGAGCCAGCCACACACTCTTCACCCAACCTACCTTACAGGGCTGTTGTGAGAATAAAATGGAGGAGAGGAGAACGACTTAAGGCACTGAGTTTCCCCGTTGGGGACTCAACTGACTAAAAGACTAAGCAACCGTGATCCCAGTGGGATCTGTTCTGAGGCGTATTTCACTTCTTCAGATACAAGAGCAAGAAAGGAACCCATTTATCTCATTTTCTTTCATCCTGTTGTTCCTGGAAAAGTGAGTGTCTCACCAAAGCTGCTTCGGGGGGAAAGGTTGTTCCGTCTTTTTAAGGTTTTGCCGAACGTTGGCTTTTGGTTCACGGATGTGCGGATGAGTATAATCTCTCGTGTTTCCCCCCCGCCAAGGCCCTCCCTTCACTTCCCCTGTCTTTTTGGTAAAAGAGTGGAAGGGAAGGCCAATTCCCTTTCAGCTTGGGAGGGCTTCTCTTTCTAGGGAGGGGAAGGAACGTCAGGCCTGTCTGCTTATTTTGGGCTGATAAGTGGTGTTCCTGGCAGACTGCCTCTCATGGGATGGCGGGGTGGGGCGGGGAATTGGACCAACTCTGTTGCGTGAGGTGTCGTTTTCTTTCTCAGCCCAGAGATTCCCTAAGCATTCACACTTCTAGCAGTGGTGCCGTCAAGTTGCAGCCGACCTAGGGCGACCCCGTAGGGATTTCAAGGCAAGAGGTGTTCAGAAGTGGTTGGCCATGGCCTGCCTCTGCGTAGCCGGGATTTCCTTGGTGGTCTCCCATCTCAGTGCTAACCAGGGCTGACCCTATTTAGTTTCTGAGTTGTGACCAGACTGGGCTAGTTTGGGCCAGGCGGGTCTGTGGAGTTGTAAATGAGTTCTGAAAGGTACACACAGATACACACGCACAAAAAGATGCAGAGAAGAGAGTTCTCTTGTTGGGGCAGACCTCACCTAAAAGGAGCCTATGATAACTGGCATGCAAATATTTCATACGGTAGCTGAGGGTGGGTGGGTGGCAATATACTGGGTCAGATTCTACCAAAAAAAGATGGGTGTGGTCAGGGTGGTGGTGGAAAGTACTGTCCTGTTGTGGCGAATTTCTGGTGACCCCCCCCCCCCAAGGGGTTTTTACACCAAAGCCATCTCTAGTTCCAGCTCCTGCCAACCTAGCAGTTCGAAAGCAAGAAATTGCAAGTAGATAAATAGGTACCACTTTGGTGGGAAGGGAGCAGCGTTCCGTGCGCCTTGGTGTTTAGTCATGCCGGCCACATGACCACGGAGAAGTCTTCGGACAGCGCTGGCTCTTTGGCTTTGAAACGGAGATGAGCACCGCAACCCTAGAGTCGGACTGGACTGGCTTTTGAGCGAGGGAAACCTTTACCTTTAAGGTTTTAAAGGCAAGAGACGAACAGAGGTGTTCTGCTGTTGCCTGCCTCTGCGTAGCAACCCTGGCTTTCCTTGATGGCCTCCATCCAAATACTCGTCAGCGCCGGCCCTGTTTAGCTTCCAGGAACCGATGGGATCAAGCCAGCCTGGGCCATCCAGGTCAAGGCAGTTTCCGGCTCCTCTGGATGTCCTCCCCCCCCCTCCCCAAGTCCCTGGGGAAAGCTTTTTGGCTGGGAGTGAAGAGGCAGGGGAAGTGTGCGTGTGCATGCACGCGTGTGTAGCCACCCGTCTCCCCGGCTCTCAGACTGAAGGGCTTGGGGTGGTTTTTGCTTCTAATCGTTGCTCATGTCTGAGCCTTTGCTTATACCTGTGTACTTTGGCGGAAAGAACACCCAAGTGCCATCGAGTCGCAGCCGGCTTACGGCAACCCCGGCAAGGGGCTTTCAAGGAGAGCGAGAAGCAAAAGGTGGTTGGCCATGGCCTTCCTCTGCAGGGTCTTCCTTGGTGGTCTCCCACCCAAGACTTATGGGGACCACAGCATGGGGCTTTCAAGGCCACTGAGAAGCAGAGGTGGTTGGCCATTGCCTTCCTCTGCAGAGTCTTCCTTGGTGGTCACCCATCCAAGACTTATGGCAACCCCATCAAGGGGCTTTCAAGGCGAGCGAGAAGTAAAAGGTGGTTGGCCACGGCCTTCCTCTGTAGAGTCTTCCTTGGTGGTCTCCCACCCAAGACTTATGGCGACCCCAGCAAGGGGCTTTCAAGGCCAGTGAGAAGCAGAGGTGGTTGGCCATTGCCTTCCTCTGCAGAGTCTTCCTTGGTGGTCTCCCACCCAAGACATATGGTGACCCCAGCAAGGGGCTTTCAAGGCCAGTGAGAAGCAGAGGTGGTTGGCCACGGCCTTCCTCTGCAGAGTCTTCCTTGGTGGTCTCCCATCCAAGGCCATGGGGTTTCAAGGCCAGTGAGAAGCAGAGGTGGTTGGCCATGGCCTTCCTCTGCAGAGTCTTCCTTGGTGGTCTCCCTTCCAGCTACTGACCCTGCACAGCTTCTGAGATCTGATGAAGTCGGGCTGTACCATGCCCCCCTGCCCTTCCAAGGTGGCTTATGAAGACTTAAAATAAATACAAACATCTGCACCTAGATGATAAAAGTCCAATAAAAATATCCAAACAGGCCTTTCAATCAGGTTGGTAACCCAAACGGCGTTGTACGACAGGCCTCGAGACCAACGCTCCCTCTAAGCTGTGGAGTCTTGTGAGCAGAAATTCTCCTCTGTGAGCCTACTGACATTAAAGTTGTGAGCAAGCGATTTTGGCTGCTGCACGAATTAGTTTGCTCTGGAGCCCTCCTTTCTGAGCTAAGACAAAAATGTGTGAGCCGGAGGCTGTGAGCTGGCTCACACTAGCTCAGCTTAGAGGGAACATTGCGCGAGACAGCTATAATGGGAGAAATCCTAAAACCATGGCGGCAAGACCTTATGGCATTAATTTTTTAAAAAATCAGACAGACAACAGCAGTTAAATCTGTGGAACGGATGCCATCCATATCTGTGTTTTTAATAGAAACCTGTAGACAGAGTGGCTTACAACTTCTTAAGGACTTCAAATAAGAGCAGTCTGTACCAAATGAACCTGTTGGAATAGAGTCCGCTTGCCTACCTATTTTTATTATTTATTTAATTTGTGCCCCGCCCTCCCCGCAAGCAGTGAAAAGGAGACCAAGGGAAAATGTATGCAGGTGTATTGGGGGCATAGACTTTGCAGGATCGTGGAGCCACCACATAAAAGACCCTGCTGTGATTCAACGACATCCGTGTGTTGTCCTAAAGGAAGCAATGCAGAGCGAAATCTCCGTACTAG